TCTCAAAAAAGAGAAGAGGAGAGGAGAGGAGAGGAGAGGAGAGGAGAGGAGAGGAGAGAAGAAAGAAGAGAAGAGAAGAGAAGAGAAGAGAAGAGAAGAGAAGAGAAGAGAAGAGAAGAGAAGAGAAGAGAAGATCATCATTATTATTTTTACTGCAACTAGAAGATAAATGTTTAAAATAATTTCAATTTATATGCATATAATTCATATATTATACATAATGCATATATACATATATGTATATAATATTTGATTTATAACTTATAAATGTTCCATTCTGCCCTGGCCTCTTTAGTAGAAGCCACCTGTCCTCCTTGATTTTCTCTACAAGTCTTAACGACATTTCCCTGCCATAAAGCCACTCAGTCTCCTTTTATACCAATTTAGTCTGCTTCTGCCATGTTTTGCCCCTTGTTTTCTTCCTGAACCCCCTCAGTGCTGACCTGGCTCCATTTCTGTCCTGCCAAGCTTTGCGTCACTAATACCTGCCATGAGAACAGTGACAACCTCCAGGGGAATAAGTGAAAGAAGACTAGAGCCTAATTAACACGTGAAAGGAAAGTAAGCCTTGGGGGCCGAAAATCACTAAGCTAAAGGGAAAAGTCAATCTGGGAGCTGCTTAGGGCAAACCTGCCTCCCATTCTATGCAATTCATCGCTCTGCTCCCTGAGATAAATGCACATCTGATTGCCCTCCTTGGAAAGGCTAATCAGAAAGTTAAAAGGATGCAACCGTGTGTCTCTCACCTACCTGTGACCTGAGAGCCCCTCCCTGCTTGAGCTGTCCTGCCTGTCCTGACTTAACCAACGTACATCTTACATCTATTAACTGATCTCTCATGTCTCCCTACAATGCATAAAACCAAGCTGTGCCCCGACCACCCTGGGCACATGTCCTGAGTGAGGCTATGTCACGGGCGTGCGTCCTCAACCTTGGCAAAATAAACTTTCTGAATTCACCTCTCTCAGCTATTTGGGCTTCACAAATATCACTACTCTCTTTCCCCAAAGCAACTAATAGCTTGTGATCACCTAAGAATAAAGTAAATAGATTATGTTTTCTGAGGTTGTGCTATTTATTAATGGATTTATTAAATTTAAAATGTATTGTCTGTACAGTGTGAAGCCATATAAATTCCTATTTGACCAAGACAGAGAATAAGACCAAAAACTGACTAACCAATCAAGCTAAACAGAATACATAAGACATTGGGGAAAAAAGAGTCAAATAGACTGTGGCTCCTCCCCCCACGAGAGTTACAGTCTAGAAGAGAAGGCCACCGAATGAGTCACCATATTATAATTGCTAATTGCTATTAATATAGACAGGTAGTAATGTGCTGCGTAACCATGTTTCTGTCAATGATGGACTGCATATATGATGGTGACCATATAACTAGACCATATAGCCCGTGTGTCTGGTAGGCTATACCTGCTAGGTTTGTGTAAGTATACTCTGTGATGTTCACACAATGACAAAATCGCCTAAGGACACATTTCTCAGAACATATCCCTGTCCTTAAGCAGCACATGGCTATATTGTAGGCATCCAGAGAAAGAACATCTCATTGGAAGGGTGTCCAATGAAAGTCGTTTAAAGATTGATTTTTTTGAGTTTTTGTTAATTTTTAACCAGCACCCTGTTTTTTACACCATTAGTGCAAGTGTCCCGGATATAGTTTTATTTTGCATGTTTTATATAATATTTATAGTATAAATATTATAACGAATACACCCTACTACAGTGTTTCCCTCCACACTCTATTTTGATATGTATTCATGCTGTTACATATAGCTCCAGTTCACTGGTTTTAACTGCTGATGGAATCTTGTTGTATGAATGCAGCACATATTATTTGTCTAAGTTGGTCAATGAACATTTGAGTAGTTTCTACACTTTGTGTCTTTGTGCTTGTTGCTTTGGTTGAACAGAAGTTTTTAATTTTAATTTTTAAAGTGTTTATGGCTTATACTTTTTGTGTTTATTTAAGAAATCCCTTCCAACTCTGAAGTTCTTGAAGATACCCCCTATATTTTTTCTAAAAAGTATAGTCTCATTTTTATATTTAGTTCCCTAGTTCTCTATCTGTCTCTCTCCTTTCTCTCTCTCTCTCTTTTTTTTTTTTTTTTTTGATATGGAATCTCGCTCTGTCGTCCAGGCTGGAGTGCTGTGGCGCAATCTTGGCTCACTGCAACTTCTACCTCCTGGGTTCAAGCAATTCTCCTATCTCAGCCTCCTGAGTAGCTGGGATTACAGGCGTGCACCATCATGCTTGGCTAATTTTTGTATTTTTAGTAGAAACAGAATTTTACCTTGTTGGCCAGGCTGGTCTCGAACTCCTGACCTCAAGTGATCCGCCCGCCTTGGCCTACCAAAGGGCTGGGATTACAGATGTGAGCCACTGCTCCCAGCCTCTCTCTCTCTCTCTCTCTCTGTGTGTGTGTGTGTGTCTGGGATTACAGATGTGAGCCACTGCTCCCAGTCCGTCTCTCTCTCTCTCTGCGTGTGTGTGTCTATATGCTCACTCCTTTCAATCTATACTTTCCTCTACCTGGCCCTTTAGGTCCCAGTTCAGAAATAGTTCTCGTCCCTGAGCCAGAGGTTACCTTGCTTTAGTTCCCAGTCAAAAAGTGATGTGCCCCACCCTCACTGGTCTCATATTTTTGAAAAAGCTACACATCCAGGTAAGGACAGAGCACAGCCTGTTGCTTTTCTGAACTGGAAGACCTGCTGCTCCCTCGGCCGTGGAGCCCAGGCATGGAGGTCTTCCGGTCCTGTCTGTCTGCAGAAGCTGCTCGGCTGCCATTGCCTGCTCCAGACCAAGCACCCAGGTCTGAGGCTTCAGCCCATCCATTGCTTTATGCGTCTCTCTTGTTTGGATCTAGAGAGATCTAGAGAGATCTAGAGGAGCCCTGCTGTTTCTTTTTGCTTTTTTGAATATATATTTTCTGTGTGTTTGGAGAAGAAATAGCTCATCAAAGCAAAAACTTTTAGCACTATTCTGACCTGAACTCTTTAGTTGTCTTTATGGAAGAGTTTTTTAAAAAAGAGTAGGAGTTAGCTAGATAGAGAAGGCCTTTGAGAGGAAATCGCAGATGAAAGGAAGAGTTTGTGTGAATGCACAGAGACCAGAATAAGAAGCTTTTTGGAAATGCAAAACACTTTGGTATGACAGTAGCAAAGAAGGCATACAGGGAGAGGGGCAGCAAAAAAGCCCAGAGGGTAGGAGCAGTATGACGCAGAAGGTTTCTGTGCCTCCCACAGCCCAACAACTGCCACTTCTCTAAAACACACAGGGAAGACCCAAAGAACTGCACCCTGAAGAAGGGGAAGAAGACAAAAGCAAACATAATAACTCTACAGAGAACATCACAGATTTCAAAACATAATCACATCAATTAAATAAGGTGAATGGTGCTGATGTCATCACGGCCATTCAAGAAACAAGAAAACTGAGACTCAAGGAGTTCAAGTGATGAACTAGAATTGAAACCCTAATCCTCCTTTGCCTAGTCTCTTGTTCTTTTTGTCAATTACAATTCAGAATGTATATACATACAGCAGAAAGACTGCCCACCATGAACATACCTTAGCCAAGGCAATAAAATAAAAAACAGTTTGCATAGAAACACATTTTTTGGTGAACTCCTTGAATCCACCTTTGTGTCTCTTCCTCTACTTGTCTCTCATTCTATGCTCTGGATTGAAATCCATATAATCTATTATACTTGTTTACTTTATGATGCAAAAGCCTGAAAAGGCTCAATGTTCTAGCTACCCTTTCAAAATTGGCATTTTCACTAGAACAAATAAAATAAATATCAACAGTACAAGTTCTGAGTGATACTAGCCTACGGAGGGTTTACATTTGAGCAAAAGCTCCTCACCAATGTTCTCCAAGTCACAAGACCTAGACGATTTTGTGTTCTTACATGTCAGGACTAACCTGCCTTAGTAATAGTGAAGATTTGAACCTAATTAACTTATAATGAACTCAATTATAAGTGCCTCTAATTAGAAGTTAGTAGCTCTCTTAACTAAACGACTTACTAAAGTTTTATATGTAGTTCTGTTAATGGTCACCCATTTACTCAACAAATACTCTAATTTCATAGGTTAATAAATTTACTATAACATGAAAATATTATTTAAGGGCTGATGTATAGCTAGAAAATGTAATCTCCCCCCAGCTTCTATAACTGAAGAAATGTAATTATTGATCAGTCAACACTTATTTCTGAAATTCAATAACACTAACTTACTAAAAAAGCAGAATAATAAAGAAGCTAAGACCAGTTCTTTCAGATCACAAACTTAATTTAACCTAATTTAACCTTAATTGAACCTAATTTTGCTAAATTTGTGCTTCATTGTTCTTTCTATTCTCTGATATCAACTCAAGTTCTATTTGAGTAATCATAGAGTTATCTTTCCTCCCTCAAAAGATAGTTTTAAAAACCTATATTCTCATACTCCTAGTATGTCTCTACCATCCCTAAAAACTGCTTTTATAATTCTTACATCTCTGGGCAAGTGGAGAGGGAGGTTTTTAGTAACTTCACTTAGTAAGACGTTTCCATTGTCATAAGAGAGCAATTTGAAAGCTTCCACTTAAAATATTTCTCCCTATTTTCTCATCCATACTACAAAGAGAAATGTGACTTTAATTCAACTGTAAGTCATGATCTTTTATTATTCCTCCACGTTCTTAAAGAGTAATAAATAAATACTATGTTCCTCCCCTATAATGATAGAAAAATCCAATTCCTAAAGGTTTACCTTTAAGCAAAGTTTTAATCACTGCTGCCATTTTCCTCTGATATTAATGGACAATAATTCAACCCAGAACTAAATTGGAGTTTAGCAAATTTATGTTCATCATGTAATACTTTGGTATAAGTTTGTAAGAGCATATTTCAGACTGAAAGTGATTCACCTGAATATCTTGGGTGGGAAAGGTGAGTATAAATAGTGGTGAACGGTGTTTGTTATTCTTCCAGGTTTTCAGGGTGTGGGATATACAAACTCTCTCACTGTTACAAGTCTTCCATGACAGCCAGGGAGGGCCAGGAGACATGCAGATTTACTCCATGATATATGATGCCAATCACGGCATGCTTATTACGGGTAAGTGTATACAATTAATGCCAAATGAAACCCATGTCTTGATTTTTCACCTTTTTAAAACTAGCACTGGAGCACTAACTAGAAGAAAAACAAAACTTGAAGGGTAACTTATAAAACCATGATTCATGACAGTAGATATTCAATTCAATTCTGCTCTTTCCTATATATTTCTGTGGCTGCGTGAATGAAATGTGTAACTGCACTTTTCTGAAAATACCAGGCTGGTTATTGCTTTCAGTTCTTGAACCTAGGAAGAAAGTTCTATTTGAGTAATTCTATAGTTATCTTTCCTCCCTGGAAGGATAGTTTTAATAATCTGAAAATACCAGGTGACTGCTTTAAGTTCTTGGACCTAGGAAGAAGGGTCTGGGTTAAGCAAAGAAGTGGGATGTATATAACTTGTTGCTATGTAGAGGGCAAATCCAGCCCCCACACCCAGCTCTGTTTTGACTCTGAAGCAGGAATATGATCCTATCTTACAGTGGTTGCACCAGCGTGCCGAGTCAATGCCCCTTTTCTGCAGCGAGGAAATTTGGGCCCATGCCATTCTAGTAACGAGTCACTACTCAGTAGGAAAAGTGCTGACACCTTCACCAGCCTCTGCCTCTTGACGAAGACCAATGGAGAGTGAGGATGGAGTCCCAGTGCTGATGCCAACAGATTTGTTGCTGATTTTTCTTGTAGCCTCTTAGAAAGTCATGCCTACTAAAGAAACAAGGAGCCCTGCTAGACATCTAGGGAGCACTTTTTATATGCACACCTTTATGCTTCAGGATAAAAATGAATTATATTAATAGTAGCTCCTCCTTCTAGAACACAAAACTAGAGTGAATTTTCTAAGCATTTTCCCACTGGCCACCTGCTCTGAGTTCCTGTGGGATTAATTAAGGCAGGGAAGAGGTTGGTGCTGTCTCTGCTGATGGAGAATGTAATTATTTTTGACATTCAGTGTTTTTATTTCCTGGATTAGGAATGAACTAGCACTTCATACTTGATAAAGAACTTTCCACATTATAAAACAGGACTTAGTTTTAGTTTAAACACCTATTCTCTGTTTTACCTCCTCTAAAAGGAACATACTAATGACTATAAATAAATTTTCTCTCTTAGTGCCCCAATTTGCATGTTTGATTACTAGGCTTAGCATTCCCATCCCATTTATCATCATAGTCACTAAGGATTCAAATAGTAAGGCAAAGAAAAAGAAGACAGAAAAATCAAGATTTCTTCCCAATTTTATACCATTCTGATAGCACCTCTGTTTGCAAAAATTTAAAGCTCTGTGTATTGTTTAATCACCAAAATTGCAGACACTTACTGCGACCATGAACTTGACATCAGAATTACATGAAGCTTATGTCTAGGATTTTAATTCATTCTTTGATTCAAATGAAGCAGCCATCAGTCCTCTAAACCCCAATGACAGCAGTACCACGTTCTAGAAATGCTTTGTAGAATATGTCATTGCTGCTGTCACTGTTGTTATCATTATTACTTTTATTAAGACAAGCACCATTAGAATCATATATTTTTTCATTTGATCTGTACAGCCACCATATGAGGTAGTAATCATTTTTTCTATTTTATAAATGGTGAAACTGAATCTCAAACAGCCCAACTGACTAGTGGCAGGACACAAGGTTAAAATACTGAGCTGAGATTCAATATCAGAGCTTCTAACTCTTGGCTCCACATTCTTTCTTGGCACTGCATCATTTCTTTTCTTTATTTTTTTCTTTTTTGAGACGGAGTTTCACTCTGTGGCCCAGGCTGGAGTGCAGTGGCGCGATCTTGGCTCACTGCAAGTTCTGCCTCCCAGGTTTACGCCATTCTCCTGCCTCAGCCTCCCAGGTAGCTGGGACTAGAGGCGCCCGCCACCACGCCCGGCTAATTTTTTTGTATTTTTAGTAGAGACGGGGTTTCACCGTGCCAGGATGGTCTCGACATCATTTCTATAGCAGTAGTGTAACTAGCCAAAAAATAGAAGATTGCCAGGTTTCCATAAGCATATCAAGATTTGTTGACATCCATTCTGAATGAAGTCAGTTACTGTTGCTATAATGAAAAGGATCTACCAAAAGGTCCAAGTATAATTTGACTATCTGGTTACCATATTCTGCTCACATTTCCACATTAAGGTATATGAACTGAGAAATACAACCAGATGAGCCATCTCAGTCCGTATCTACACATGAACAGATTTTATCTTAAAATTTAAACACTTCGGAGGGTGTTTAGTAACTCCTGGTGAAGCTTCTCCTAAAGTTGAGAATTCTTTGGAGAAACTTGACAAACTCAATGCAAAATCTGCCTTTTATTAACTTAATCTTTACATCAATAAAATCAGGAAGAAGTTTCAGTTTTGCTTGAGCCACAGGAATGCTCTGAGATTCTTTTTTTTTTTATCTTAATTTTTATTTTTTTGAGATGGAGTCTCACTTTGTCGCCCAGGCTGGAGTGCAGTGGCATGACCTCAGCTCACCGCAACCTCCCTTCCGGGTTCAAGCGATTCTCCTGCCTCAGCCTCTCGAGTAGCTGGGATTACAGGCACCCACCACCACACCAGGCTAATTGAGATTCTTATTAATATTTCTAGACGTTACACTAAAACAGAGCCACAGTTAATTTTGATACTTAAATCATACTTAGAAAAACACAAGTAAAGCATACCTGCTCCTCATCTACTTCTACTTTACAGTGGTGATTTAGAAATTAACCTTATTTTATATCGATGTTGCAAGCACTGGCTTGTGATCATTCTCGTTCATTATACTTAATAAGACCATGTTTTCAGAGTGCTTTATCAATTTATTGGTTGAAAGGGGCTCTCTAACCATAAATTTCCACCACTAAGTGGAGGCTAACCTTCAGCAGAAAGCTGGTCATCACCATTATTACTGTGCAACAGATGGAGAGGCACGCTGCAGGCATAATAAAGGAGGAGAGAAGTAGACTATAAAATATAGGAAAACGAGGTTCACTAAAAAGGATATCAAGGAAGTCCAAATGGCCTGCACTTGAAAAATAATCCAGTCCAAAAAGAATGCTTTTCTGTGGCTGAATCATATGTGCTTTATCTGTCAAAAATGTTCTAGAATAAATGAAAATATTCTCACCTCATTAAATTTCCTAGGCATTGATCGATATTGCTAATCTCACTGTTTGGCTGTTTCCAAACCCAACTGCTTGGCTGAAACCCTTTGTGATGAGAAACTTCAAATATTGGGTATTTATGAGATTCTTACTTCTGTTCCAGGATCTAGTGTTATGGACATGTATCCTTTGACTAGGATGATACAAGATACCAAACAGGTTCCTCACACTCATGAACGAGAAATCAATGTCATGCTTTACAACAAATATCTTCACCAAGTACTCACTATCTGCTCTGAATCCATAATTAGGGTAAGTACCTATTGGCTTTTCAAACAGAAAAAAGGCAAAGCAGATACAATTTTCTCTTCTTAAAATAAATCGTTGAGTGATTAAGCAAATGTAGCGGCACATATGATGAGACCATACATTAGAGTGATTTTTAAGCTTTCATGAGTAGGTGAAAAACAAGCATTTTAATTAAGCCAGTTCAGACTGCTTGCTGTCAACCCACATGCTCCACTGAATAAACATGGCTAGTTTTCACTATCAAAATAGGAATTTTAAAGGAAATATATCAAGGAGATAGAACTAGTCTGCATCTTTATTTTTATTTTTTTAACGGAGTATGGGAAGAGGATTTATGTTAAGAAGGAAGGGGAATAAATTTATAGGTGTTTACTGTAACCCCTGTAGATTCAGAATACTTGCCAAGAGCCTTAAGTCTCTGTGATCTTATTTAATCTTCACAACAGTTCTCTGTGGACAGATAAAGAGTTTCATTTTAAAGATGAGGAAACTAGGGCTCAGAGAGATCAAGCAACATAGCTGGGATAAGCATGAGGGCTGGAATATAAACCCAAGTTTTTTTGATGTAAGTACCCATGCCCTTTCTGCCGCATTCCTCCAGCCTAGCTGCCAGAGGCATTTGAACCAGAGCAACCCCATCTTGAATAAGGCTGGGTAAAATGAGGCTGAGACCTACTGGGCTGCATTCCCAGACGGTTAAGGCATTCTAAGTCACAGGATGAGATAGGAGGTCGGCACAAGACACAGGTCATAAAGACCTTGCTGATAAAACAAGTCGCAGTAAAGAAGCCGGCCAAATCCCACCAAACCCAAGATGGCAATGAGAGTGACCTCCGATCTTCCTCACTGCTACACTCCCACCAGCGCCATGACAGTTTACAAATGCCATGGCAACGTCGGGAAGTTACCCTATATGGTCTAAATAGGGGAGGCATGAATAATTCACCCCTTGTTTAGCATATCATCGAGAAGTAACCATAAAAATGGACAACCAGCAGCCCTAAGGGGTTGTTAATGGAGTGACCATTCTTTATTCCTTTACTTTTTTCATAAACTTGCTTTCGCTTTACTCTGTGGACTTGCCCTGAATTCTTTCTTGTGTGAGATCCAAGAACCCTTTCTTGGGAGTCTGGATCAGGACCCCTTTCCTGTAACATGGCCATCACAGCATTTCCTAGAGGCCAGGGCTTGTGGCCATGCTAACTGTGTCCATCATTATGACCACTGAAGTCATCTGGCAGTGATGGCTGGAGGTGTGTGCTTCAGGTGTTTGTCCCTTCATTTCATGCATGCTCTCCAAAAGGAGACGTTTAGACTAGCAGACAGCATTCCTCTGGGGACCCTTCAAATTACCTCTCAGTCTCTGACTTCTGTGATCGTTTGCTGGAGATTTTCTCAAGTGAGAATCTCCTGAGTTCATGATATTAGTGCATTTCTGGTAATGCCTAAAGAGAGAGGTAGAGGAAAACGAAAACGGAAACCTGTCCTGCTTTCGTGCAATCAGTATTTCATGCAGTCACCTCTTACGGGGAAAATGTCATCCCTGTGTGGGATAAAAGAGTGGAAAGGAATACATGAAGGTGAGTTTTCATGCCAGGTTGGTTGGAGAGAGATCACACTGCAGGCCAGGAGATGGGTGACCCCTGAGACCCATTCATGCAATGACCCACATTCCTCTTTCTCCCTTAAGAACCTCGTCTATAACCAGGGACACGCAGAAGTTAAAAGCACGGACTCTAGGGCCAGACTGACTTCACTCAAATCCCAGTTCTACCACTTCCCCACAAGTGGCCCTTCATTATCTGGCCCCCAGACTATCTCATCAGCTCCATCCCCTCCACACTCCCCCTTTCACCCAGCTACAGTGGCTTTCTTTCCATTCCCTGGAGGAAAGATGAACTTTCTCACCCCGGCACTTTGTATATGCTGTCCTCTCTGCCACAATACCTACAGTGCAATCATCCTGTGTTGCCGGTTCAGTGCTGGCACGTTATGGCAGTGCAATTTACATCTGAGCACGGCAACTCCATGAAGGAGAGACTCAGACAGAAAATCTGCAGGTCTAAGGCCTCTACTGTGTTTCCAGAGAGAGATAATGATGACTCTTGAGTCTTGACATGTCTCTAGATTTTCTGATTACACCCATCCTAATTACACAGATGGCCTCCTCTGAGGTCAGTCTCTTTCTCTCTGTCTCTCTCTTTCTCTCTGTATATGTCTCTCTCTCTCCCATTCTCTCTCTCGCTGGGCCCATGTCTCTAGTCACAACATTCCTAGGAAAGGTCAATCAGCTCTTTCCTCAGGATTCTTCTCTCAGGTCCCATGCTATTAACCACACGTCCTGTCCCATGATCCCTGGCTAACTAGGATGAGTGTCACCAGGGAATAAATCCAGTTCGTATTTCTTTTGTCACTGAGCTTGCAATTGTTCCATTTCTAACCTTGCTTCAGGCTTACAGTACCAACTGACCACTTCTTCCATGGCCAGGGGCTGCCTGGAATAGAGTCCCTGCCTGTCTCAGCCCTCCACTTGCAGCAGACACAGTCCGGGAGAGCACAGTAACTATTAAACGCACTTTATCTTTCAGAACTATCTTTGATCAAACCAACACTCAGGGCAGAGTGCTAGGAAATGTGTTAGATGTACAGAGTTCCATCTGTGAGGCTGTTGTGAATATGGTGTAATTCTGATGAGAATTGAAGGGCTTATTCCAAGGGATTATTTGATATTTTTGTTCTTTCCCACAGGTATGGGAACTCGAGACTGGGCTCCAAGTATACCAGATTTTAGACCCTCATGGTTTCAATATTGAAGTGACTTCTGCAGCTGTCGATGAAAGTGGATTTCTTTTTGCCACGGGAGCATATAACGGTCAGACTAACATCCAGAATGTGGCGTCTCTGCTTTAGTGTCCTGAGAATTTCTGCCGAAAACTCTTTCGTTCTTTGGGGTAGAAGGAGAGCATGGAGCAGGCTGGAATATGTCTGGGTGCCAGTGAAATTCCTGTGCCTGGGTGAATAGTGGTAGAGTCCCTTATCTAACAGGCATCAATGTCTTGATATGGATGTTAAAAATGATTCCTCACATTGCATTTACATAGTCGCTTTAACAGTTTGCAGAAGTCTTTCGCATATGACATCTCATCTAATCCGTGCTGCACTGACTCATCCTATCGTTCCACTTTTGGGTACCATCAGCTAAGAGACAGACATCGGATTCAGTGCTTGCTAACAATAGTTTTACCGACAGTAGATTTCTGGACCAGACAAAACACCCAGCCAACTTTTTCACATTACTCCTAGAGTTCTATATTGGAGTTGTTCACATGTCTAGCCTTGCGGAGGGCATGTGCCATGCCAAACTTGAGAGGATGCCAGGCCCAGGTTGGGGTGGGCTGTTTGATGTGCCTTACACTATGCAGCACTGGTAGGACTTTCAGGAACTAAAGAGCTACAGACTGCCCTGCCTTGCACCCCACTCACTACGTACTAAATGAAAGAACTGCTTTATCTAGACCATATGACCAACTGCATGCACTACTCTGAATATATTTACCCTAGGCCCACATGCATAAGCCAATTGATGAATTGAGTGAGCATCTCGACGTGTGAAAGTCTGACTTTTTTAAGTGTGAGCAGATGACAACACCATGTGAAATAAAATCATGAATACTGAGTCGATGGGGTATGAATAAATGCAACTGCCCTTCACGTGGACCAGTTCTTGAGAAAGCAGTCTTAACTGTTCCATAAGCACACCCTGCATAGACACGAAATGTAGTTGTTGAAATTCTGAGCAATGTACACAATTATTATCACGCAGAAGCATTAAGCAATTCAATATATGACTGACAATAGTATTGTTTATATGCAAGCAAGCCATATCTTATGTTGTTAGTCCTAGAACCTAGAATTCTTTCAGATATTGAGTTTGTCCTTCCCAAAGGTACATATGTTAAATTTATTTTATTGTGTTTATTTATTTGGAGTCGGAGTCTCACTGTGTTGCCCAGGCTGGTCTCAACCTCCTGGCTTCAAGTAATCCTCCCTCCTTGGCCTCCCGAGTAGCTGGGGTTACAGAAGTGAGCCACTGTGCCAGGCCCTCTTGGTTAAATTGACAGAGATCCAGGACACCCTGGGAAGTGAGATTCTCTGACTCCCAGTGAAGTTCAAACCACAAGCCACTGGTCTCCTCTCATTACCACCCATCACCTGGGAAAAGCTGAGGAGTACATCTCCCTGCTCTCTGCTCCACTAAATCTGACTGCCCAAGTCCCAAGGTAGCAGGAAATCTGGACAAGGAGACTGGCCTCTGCATAACCCAGGAATGTCTGAGAACACGATAATGTCTTTTAATTGTTTGTGTGACTGTTTTCCTATAATGCCACAGAGTCCTTGAGGGTGGGCACTATGATTATTCATTAAGTACCCCCAGCTCCTACCACAGTGCTGGGTATAGAGAGAGTATTTAATCGACGTTTAATGATGTTGTTAGTGGCCAGCAAACAAATATTGGGGGTGTGAGTGTTGCTGATGGAGAGAACCTGGTGTGGGGGAAGGAAAACAGTGCAGTGAAAACACTCTGGGTGTCGAGCAGGATTCGAGCTGAGGGATAAGAAAGGGGGTAGGGTTAAAGGAGGAGAGGAAAAGACCTGTGGTTCACTGGAGTCTGAACTTGAGGTGACCACTATAAAAGCCCATGTGAGAAGAGAATTCTCTCCTCTGAGCAATGACCTAGAAATAGGCATTCCACAACTATACTGTTTATCATCCCTCTGGCCCCTTCTTCCAGGTCCCCCAAAGCAAATGAATGAAGTGAACGATAAAGAAAGTATCTCTACCCATTTGAACTGCTAGAATGGAATGCCATAGAGTGGGTGGTGTTTAAAAAAAAAAAGTTTATAGCAGATTTATTGATAATAACCAAAAACTGAAAAACAAACCATTTTTCAACATATGACTGGTTAGACAAACTGCAGTACATCAATACAGTGGAATACTACATTATTACAAGTAATACAAAGAAACAAGCTAGTTATATTTGCAGCAGTTTGAATGTATCTGAAAGACACTAACAAAAGACAAGAGTCAATCTCATCCATTTCAGTTCTTTTTTTTTTTTTTTTTTTTTTTTTTTTGAGATGGAGTCTTGCTTTGTTGCCTAGGCTGGAATGCAGTGGTGCAGGGTCTCGGCTCACTGAAACCTCTGCCTTCTGGTTTCAAGCGATTCTCCTGCCTCAGCCTTCTGAGTAGCTGGGGCTACAGGCGCCTTCCACCATGCTCGGCTAATTTTTGTATTTTTAGTAGAGACAGGGTTTTGCTATGTTGCCCAGGCTGGTCTCGGAACTCCTGACCTCAAATGATCTGTCCGCTTTGGCCTCCCAAAGTGCTGGGATTACAGGCATGAGCCACCGCGCCCAGCCAATAACATTCTTGAAATAACAAAATAAAATGTCTTCAAAATGACAAACTTTTAGATAAGTAAAACAGCTTACTGATTACCAAATAGTGACGGTGGGGGTTGTGGTGACTATGAAGGTTAACACGAAAGTTCCTGTGGATTGATGGAACATTTCTGTATATTGGTTGTGCAAATTTATACACACAGTAAAATTGTGAAGAACTAGACACATACACACGAGAGTGCATGCAAAAAACTGGTAAAATCTGCACAAGATCTGTCGTCTAGTTAATGGGATTTTCTAATGTCAATTTGCTTGTTTTAGGACTATACCGTAGTCACATGGGCTGGAAGCAATGGGGGAAGTTGGGACAAGATACACAGGACTTTACTATTTTTGCAACTTTCTGTTTCTTTTTATTTTTCAAAGTTCAAAACAATGTAGAAGGCTAACAAATTTTGCCAAACACTGAAACACTGATATAAATCTTCAAATTTTTACATTAGTTGAGGTCTCAAATGTCATATATCAGATTAATTAAAATGCTTTAAGCACTATCAGAATTGGAGCTGACAGTGTCTCCTTGGTATGTAATAAGATGGAAAGAGTGTTGGGCCCACACTGACATCTATAAAAAAGCAAGCTGATCTATGAAATCAGAACTTTTCTTGAACCTATGCGAGAATCGATGTTGCAGGCAAATAGCCTGAAATAGAAGGAAAGACACAGGCACTTCCGGGGACAGATAGGACACAGTTACTGGCTAACCTAGGGCAGTGATGAGAAGGAAATGGGGCTGGCATTCAGATGGGTGAGAATGTAGTCAGATTTGTAAGAACTGCTGAGATCTGAGTGTAGGATAGCATGAGAGTACAGCACTTCTAAAAGCCAGAAACACAAAGGGAGTATGCGTCCATTCCCATGCTCCTCACACGGCTTGTCACATGTCACACATGGCTGGCCTCCCTCATGGTGCAGATCTGGGAGACAGGAACAGTCTACACTGTGGAGCCACAGAAAGTCCCACCAGCATCCGTCTTACCGACAAAGCAAATGCCTAAGCCACTGAGGGAAGGGCGGCAAACCCTCCTGCTGATATTGTAGATGAAGACCTACTGTAAGGGAGACAGAGCTGAGCAAGTTGTTCTCTACCTCTTGAGGGGAGGTAGGAAAACCTCCTGAGCTCAGCCCATTTGACATGCTTTACCACTCAGGGCAGGAGGACTGGGTGTTTTCCAACAACAGAAATCGATTTCTCTCAGTTCTGGAGGCTGGGAAGTTCGAGATCAAAGCGCTGGCAGATCTGGCATCTGGCAAGGGCCCACCTCCTGGTTTATAGATGGTGCCTTCTCACTGTGTTGCCACATGACAAAGGGGTAAGGCAGATCCTTGGGGCCCATTTTATTACTTACTTTTCTTTTTTCATCTGAGTCACAGCAGATCTGAATTTGGGGCCTTTTTTATAAAGGCACTAATCCCATTCATGAGGGTTCTACCCCCATGACCTAATCATCTCCAAATACCATCATATCGAGGATTAGGTTTCAAACAGAAAGTATAATTTTAAACGTAAGAAAAACACTCGGTCAGGCACGGTGGCTCCCGCCTGTAATCCCAGCACTTTGGGAGGCCGAGGCGGGTGGATCACAATGTCAGGAGATTGAGACCATCCTGGCTAACACGGTGAAACCCCGTCCCTACTAAAAATACAAAAACATTAGCCGGGCGTGGTGGCGGGCGCCTGTAGTCCCAGCTACTCGGGAGGCTGAGGCAGCAGAATGGCATGAACCCGGGAGGCAGAGCTTGCAGTGAGCCCAGACCTTGCACCACTGCACTCCAGCCTGGGTGACAGAGTGAGACTCCGTCTCAAAAAAAAAAAAAAAAAAAAAAGGAAAAAAGAAAAACACTCCATACTTTTCTTTCACTTTCCTCCCATGTAACCAACAAAACCAATCTCCAAGCTTGGCAGATTCTTACCGACTGGGATTCCCTCCAACTTTTTATTATCTAATAAGAGCTAACGTCCTAAAACATGTCAGCACATTAAGAAACGTGACAGATTACTGGAATGATCTTTCGCTGTGAATAATAATTGTGGCATGGTAGCGAACATTCCCGTGTTCGGGACGGCGTGTTTAGCACACTGAAAAGCGTTGGGAGAATAAAAACAGAAGAGACTCACTGAAGAGCAAAAGCTTAGTAGGAGAGCCTGAGGGTAGATTTCAAGGCGTTGCCTGGTCCTGTTTATTTTTATTTTTTCAGCCTGTGACAAATCAAGGCATATAGGAATAAATTTCATGCACAGCAAGCCTGGGAAGACTCACCCATCTGAGTAGGGAATAAATATAGGATAAATTGTTGGCAGAAAGCTTTCAATCGGATGAATTTTCTCTGAGCAAAAAGCCAAGCTTTCTCTAAGTCACTTTTACCTACGTAATCTTTTTCTCTGTATGCTCAGGAACAGTCAGAATCTGGGACTTTGGCAGTGGGCAGGAGATGAAAGTGTTGCCGGAGGGGAAAGACTGGAAGGAGGAGGAGCACTGCCTACAACGCCTCGTTTTCCTCAAAGCCCAAGAAAAACACCAGCACCTGGTCCTGGCCTTGGAGCGCAACGGGACTATCAAAATGATCCAGGTTTATAATCCCATTTCATATTCGTACTGCAGGTGCCCTTTTTGGGAAAATCAAATGAGTCCGTGGATAATCCCCACCCATGTAACTCGCCTCTTGGTAGCCAGCTGAAGATAGTGTTTATCCTCAACCTTCTCGTGATGCTCCTCATTAACTTTGCCCAGGTTCAAGCAAAGAGCAAAAAAGAATCCCTGCCCAGTCACCGCATGTTGCCCATCAAGCTTCTGCTGAAGGGTTAGTCAGGGTCTCCTAAGGCGGGTGTCAAGAAGGTTAAATTTATACTCAGCTGCCACCTCGGACATGCTTTATACCCTCATATGGGGATAATTCACTGCAGAATTGCTTTCCGGCAGGCTCTGTCCCTTATCACCCATAATGCATTCAGGGATGCTCAAGTCACTTTTCCAGCTTGTCACCAAAATCGCTTTGTTTATTTTAAGGTTAATGATGCAATCTGCCCAGGGCTGTTTGGGGAGGATTGAGGTAGGCTAATTTATTTTTCCTATGACTCTATTACCACCTCGGAATGCTAATGCCCTCTTCAAATTTATAATGAAGAGTAGATCATCTATCCTGGCTATCGAGCGGATCTCACCCCGTCACCTCGAACTCAAGGACTCACTGGCTTTATTATTCCCCTTCTGAAAGCTAAGACCAGAAAAAGAAAAGTCTTGAATAGCACAGCAATCATGAAGCACCAGCTTAAGATGACTGATGACCTAAGAACTGGAAAAAAGGAGTAAAAAACTTCCCTGATGTAATATACTCTTCTCTCGTCTGAGCAATCCAAAATGGCACTGTAGAAAGGCATTTCTTAGTAATACACTCTAAAACAAAACAAAATGTTGATTTTTGCTTTATAAAGCGCCATTGTTCATCAAGATGCCCTTCCTACCAGACAATGTCTGTTGTCACAAATGCTCCTTTTTTGAGGGCTGCAACAAGTAGCATGGAACTATTCACTCACCAAAATTGTTTTTAGTTCTACTGTAGCATTTTTTACTTTGATTATTCTGGTTCTGCATTTAGAACCTGCAGATGGATCTTAGTAAGAACTGAAAACCTCTCTTATTTATATTTGTATTCTTGGCCATGCCCAGAGTAGGTGCTCATTAAGGATGCAAAGAATAAAAAAATAAAGAAAGAACCTCTTCTAAGGTAGACAACAGTAAATTTATGAGCGGTATTTGGAGAACTTTTACCAATGTTGGAGCGGGCAGCTTTATAATATAATGTTGAAAGTATACTTATTTACTTATTATTATTAGTTTATTATTATTTACTAAATCTGCCTATTTGAAATAAAATAATTTGATTTACATACTTATTTTCTAGAATACTTTCATTGATTCATTTTTTTCAATGACCATTTACCAAATATTTACCATGTTCCAGACGGATATTCCCTTTCACCATGAAATTCATAATAGGAGTTGCACTGATCCCCCTATTACAAGTGTTGTGAGTGTTTTCACAAAGTGCCTCAGAAACTTGTGTGGTGGGATGGTTGTCAGACTAATCGGGTAGCCAGGACATTTTTTTTTCCCAGCTAAAAACGGAACAAGCTTTATAATAAATTTCTTTCCCTAAATTCCAAACCCCGCTTCTCTGTTTGCACCAGAAACTGGAAGGTGGACAGGTGGAAGTTGGAGCTGAGAGTGGAATGGAGGAAAGATAAACCAAACCTCTATCTTCCTAGACTCCCAGCTGCCTTAAAAACAAAAACAAATGAACAAAAAAGCAAACAACCCCCTCGCCCCCCAACAAACCAAAAAGCCAAAATCTGCTTCAGTAATCACATTCAGTTATTCAGGAAACACTGCTGATGCATTATGAGCTGTATGAGCTGAGAAGGGTCTCCAAAGTCTCATGTACTTTTAAAAGTGTTCAAACAGTCCTTAATGGCTTAAATACAATATCTCTCTTACACTTCTGTTCTTGGTTTTATTTTCTCAAGTCTCAGAAAAGTGCTTGTGCCACTGCCTGCTCTGGGCACAAATCATGGCCGTGCTGAATATTCTGGGCATGATTTCCTAAGCCATGTAACAAGAGGGCAGACTGTAAATTGACTGGCCTATTAATACAACTTCATAGACAACAAGAGAAGAAAACAATGATTCTTCTCATCATCTCAGTTTTAAGGGGATAGAACTGCATTCTGCCTATATGAAACCTTTGGCAAATTTGAGAGAAATTTGCCCCCAAGTTATTGTTGACAAAACCATAGGTTGGTGAGAGATTACTGTTCTAACATAATAAACAAAGCACTGTGGGGGTTTCCAGGAAGATGATTAATTGATCTCAAAATCATTCAAATTCTGAAGACCCACTTACTTACCCTCCTTTTATCCACAGTACTTTAGATCTACTCATATAGCTATATTTGTGTGTCCTTTAAAGTAGATGATTTTTCTTTATGAAGCAATTAACATAATAGTGCTCTTAGCATTATATGAACTGCTGTTTTCCTAGATAACTGATTCCTAAAGACCTACCAGCCAATTCCAATATAAGACAAAAGATTTCACCAAGTAGAGATGAAATGTAGAAAAAAAGGGTAACTTTTGACAAAGCTACTTTTACTTCTTTTGAACTTTAAGATTGTATCTTTCCTACTGTTTTGTATTACTATAGCCTTTCTTTTCATAAAATAATGTTAGTAGAGTTTCCCATCTCCTTCTCCCTCACGTCCTCACTTGGTAAAATTGAATGTGAGTGACTCTAGGTCAATCTTCAAAAGGTATTTTGTAAATTCTACTGCTCTATGAATTCAGAAAGTCTGAGAGCCACTGTCATAGGAGATTCTATTGAAACCCGATTCTATTGAAACCCGTTAAGCCCGTTAAAAACGACTGTCGGGCCGGGTGCGGTGGCTCATGCCTGTGATCTCAGCACTTTGGGAGGCCAAGGCAGGAGGATCGCTTGAGGCTAGGAGTCTGAGACCAGCCTGGGCAACATAGTGAGACGCCATCTCTACCAAAAAAATATAAAAATTAGCCAGGCATGATGTCACACGCCTGTAGTCTCAGCTACTTGGGGAGCTGAGGTGGAAGGATTGCTCGATCCTGGGAAGTCAAGGCTGCGGTGAGCCATGATTGCACCACTGTACTCCAGTCTGGGCGACAGAGCAAGACTCTGCCTCAAAAAGACACAAAAAAAACTAAACCACTGTCACTAACTCATACCACCAGGTAGGTACATAAATCTAACTAAGCGATTACTCAGTGTAAATACCTGGTCACTCTTGAGATACTGCTGAGATTCATTCCTTCTGTCCCACAATGGCACAAACTCTAAACAAAGACCCCAGCAGTACGCAGGAGTACTATTGGCCCATACTTTTAAATTAACATGGATATGAAATAACAGAGGCCTTAGGGCAACACCTAAAATCAAAGTTTAAAAAATGGAAGGACTTTTATCCATCAACTAGCTAAAGTCCTCATTTTGCAAATAAGAAAATTAGGGCCAAAGAAAAATAGGGCCAAAGAAGGTACGTACCTTGCCCGAGGTCCTACAAGAACTAAGACTAGAAACTGGCTGTCTTTACTCCTAGGCCAATATTCTCTCCACTTTTCCATAACTGCTCGTCAACATAGAAAGAGTCCTGTTCTGCAAGCAAAATAATTGACCTTAAAATTTTGACTTTTATTCCCATATAACAATTCAAACATTAAAAATTAATGGCCTCTCATCAATAATAACCAGTTATAAAATACAAATATGGCCCAGCACAGTGGCTCACGCCTGTAATCTCAGCAGTTTGTAAGGCCAAGGCAGGCAGATTGCTTGAGGCCAGGAGTTCAAGACTATCCTGGCCAATATAGCAAAACCCCATCTCTATAAAAAATACAAAAATGAGCTGGATGTAGTGGTGCGTGCCTGTAGTCCCACCTACTTGGGAGGCTGAGGTGGGAGGATCACCTGAGCCTGGGAGGCAGAGATTGCAGTGAGCCAAAATAGCACCACTACACTCTAGACTGGGCGACAGACCAAGACACTGTCACACACACTCACGAAAGAAAACATAAACATAGTACAGATGGACTAAATGATCACATCACAATAGCAAACAAAAGTATAAGGTACCTAAAATAAACATAGCAAGAACTATGCAAAAGTTTTGTGGAAATACATCTTAAAGGATGTGAAAAGAATCTGAATAAATGGAGAGATATACCACATCCACAGATGGGATACGGCAAAGGTATCATGATTATGTTCAAATTAAAAATAAAAGCTGGTCTTAAAAAACAAAGTGAAAAGACAAGTCACAGACAGTGAAAAGGCCACTGCACCCCAGCTAACTGAAGAAGAGTTAGAAACCAGGATATGTAAAGAACCCCGCAAACTGCAGGGAAAAAAACCCCACAAATAGCCCAATAGAAAAATGAACAAAGGACGGGTAAGGAAATCCAGATGGCTCGCAGACACACGAAAAAATGTTCAACTCACAACAGTCAGGGAAATATTATTAATGGTTAATATAACTAATATGTTTAAAAAATCGTTAAAAAAATTTTTTTAATAGTGGTAAGTAGTTTTCATTTTTAGTATCTCATTTTATACACTTTATAAAAGGTCTGGGATATATGTGCAGAACGTGCAGGTTTTTTTCTTTTTTTTTTTCTCGAGATGGAGTCTCGCTCTGTCACCAGGCTGGAGTGCAGTGGCATGATCATGACTCATTGCAACCTCTGCCTCCCGGGTTCAAGCAATTCTCCTCTTGCAACCTCAGCCTCCCGAGTAGCTGGGACTACAAGTGCATGCTTGGTAGCCCAGCTAATTTTTGTATTTTTAGTAGAGACGGGGTTTCACCATGTTGGCCAGGACAGTCTCGATCTCTTGACCTTGTGATCCACCCATCTTAGCCTCCCAAAGTGCTGGGATTACAGGTGTGAGCCACCACACCTGGCCTGTGCAGCTTTGTTTTATAGGTATACACGTGCCATGGTGGTTTGCTGCACCCATCAACCCGTCACCTACATTAGGTATTTCTCCTAATGCCATCCCTCCCCTATTCCTCACCCTCTGAAAGGCCCTGGTGTGTGATGTTCCCCTCCCTGTGTCCATGTGTTCTCATTTTTCAGCTCCCACTTATGAGTGAGAACATGTGGTATTTGGTTTTTTGTTCCTGTGTTGTTTGCTGAGAATAATGGTTTCCAGCTTCATCCATTTCCCTGCAAAGGACATGAACTCATCCTTTTTTATGGCTGCATAGTATTCCATGGTGTGTATGCGCCACAGTTTCTTTATCCAGTCTATCATTGATGGGCATTTGGGGTGGTTCCAAGTCTTTGCTATTGTGAATAGTGCTGCAATAAACATACGTGTGCATGTGTCTTTACGGTAGAATGATTTATAATACTTTAGGTATATACCCAATAATAGAATTGCTGGGTCAAATGGTATTTCTGGTTCTAGATCCTTGAGGAATTGCCACACTGTCTTCTACAATGGTTGAACTAGTTTACACTCCCACCAACAGTGTAAAAGCATTCCTATTTCTCCAAATCCTCTCCAGAATCTGTTTCCTGACTTTTTAATGATCGCCACTCTAACTGACATGAGATGGTATCTCATTGTGGTTTTGATTTGAATTTCTCTAATGACCAGTGATGATGAGCTTTTTTTCATATGTTTGTTGGCCGCATAAATGTCTTCTTTTAGAAATGTCTGTTCATATCCTTTGCCCACTTTTTAATGGGGTTGTTTTTTTCTTGTAAATTTAAGTTCCTTGTAGATTCTGCATATTACCCCTTTGACAGATAGATAGACTGCAAAAATTTTCTCCCATTCTGTGGGTTGCCTGTTCACTCTGTTGATAGTTTCTTCTGCTGTGCAGAAGCTCTTTAGTTTAATTAGCTCTTATTTGTCAATTTTGGCTTTTGTTGCCATTGCTTTTGGTATTTTAGTCATGAAGTCTTTGCCCATGCCTGTTTCCTGAATGGTATTGCCTAGGTTTTCTTCTAGGGTTTTTATGGTTTTAGGTCTTACATTTAAGTCTTTAATCCATCTTGACTTAATTTTGTATAAGGTGTAAGGAAGGGGTCCAGTTTCAGTTTTCTGCATATATGGCTAACCAGTTTTCCCAACACCATTTATTAAATAGTGAATCACTTCCCCATTGCTTGTTTTTGTCAGGTTTGTCAAAGTTCAGATGGTTGTAAATGTGTGGCATTATTTCTGAGGCCTCTGTTCTAATCGATTTGTCTACATGTCTGTTTTGGTACCAGTACCGTGCTGTTTTGGTTACTGTAGCCTTGTAGTGTAGTTCAAAGTCAGGGAGTGTGATGCCACCAGCGTTGTTCTTTTTGCTTAGGATTTTCATGACTGTATGGACTCTTTTTGGTTCCATATGAAATCTAAAGTGGTTGTTTCTAATTCTGTGAAGAAAGTCAATGGTAGCTTGATGGGGATAGCATTGAATCTATAAATTACTTTGGGTAGTATGGCCATTTTCACAATATTGATCTTCCTATCCATGAGCATGTAATGTTTTTCCATTTGTTTGTGTCCTCTCTTATTTCCTTGAGCAGTGGTTTGTAGTTCTCCATGAAGAGGTCTTTCATATCCTTGTAAGTTATATTCCTAGGTATTTTATTCTCTTTGTAGTAATTGTGAATAGGACTTCATTCATGATTTGGTTCTCTGTTTGTCTGTTGTTGGTGTATAGGAATGCTTGTGATTTTTTAACATTTATTTTGTATCCTGAGACTTTGCTGAAGGTGCTTATCAGCTTAAGGAGATTTTGGGCTGAGACCATGGGGTTTTCTAAATATACAATCGTGTCATCTACAAATAGAGACAATTTGACTTCCTGTCTTCCTATTTGAAAGGGTACTAAAAATTAGTTTTAAAATGTCCCATTTCATACTCATCAGGCAAAACATTAAGAAAATCAAATAATACCAAGTGTTAGCAAGAATATGAAGAAAGGGGAACTCTCATCTACGCCTGGTGAGAGTGAACATAGCTAAACACTACCTAGAGACGCGGTTAGGTGATAGCTAGTAAAGTTGAAGATGTGCATATCTTATAGTTAGGTAATTTTACCCCAGATATATGCTGTAGAAACTGTGCCGCCTGTCTGTAAAGGAAAGCAGTACCAAATTGGCACTCTGAACATCCGTCAATGGGGGAATGGATAAATATATTGTAGTATGTTTATATAATACGATAAAGCAGTTTAAAATAAATAAACTGGAGTTCCATGAAATAACTTGTATAAATCTCAAAAGCATCCTATTGAGTGAAATAAGAAAGTTGAAGAAGAATCCATATAGCTGGACAGCATTCATAAAATGGCTTAAAGTTTGAAAGCACTATCATATATATGTAGAACGTATATATATATGTATACATAGAAATATTAAAACTTTCATGACTAACATCATATTCACATTACTGGTTACTCTAGGGAGGGAAGAAAGAGGAATTATATTAATAAGCAAGGAAGAGATGGGGCTGAAGATTTGGTAAAGCTAGATGGTGGATACATCAGTGTAGGTTCTATTTTCTCTATCTCTTTAAAACAGTTCAAAATAAAATAATTAATTGAACTTTTAATGTACTCACTGGATTTCTATTAAAGGGCAAGGAAGATGATATTTACCTCATGGTGATCTGGGAGCTGCCCAATGTTGTGCCTTTCCTACAAGATGGGAAACATGCTGTGCATCTGAGAGAGTCTACTAGAGATAGGAACATGGCTATTCCTTTCCCAGATGTCGAGTTAATAGTTGAGAGGAATGCTTCTCAACCTTCTAATGTAAGTTTCCTCTCTTAGTTTCTTTTTAACTTTTGCTTTTTGTTATGGAAATTTACAAACATATATAAAGGTATAGAAAATAATACAAAGAGCTTCTATGCGTTATCGCTCAGCTTCAAAAATTTTCTGTGTATGGCCAAACTTATTCTTTATTCCCAGCTCTTCACCATGACCACCACCAATGGATTTTTTTTTTGAGACCGGGTCCTGCTCTGTTGCCCATGCTAAAGTGCAGTAGTGTGATCATAGTTCACTGCAGACCCCAACACCTGGGCTCAAATGACTCTCCTGCCTCAGCCCCCCAAAACGCTGGGATTATAGGCATAAGACACCGTGTCTGGCCCACCACCAATGGATTTTGAAGCAAATCTCAAACATTATGTCATTTCATCCCTTTATATTTCAGTATATATGTCTAAACAATAATGACTATTTCAAAAATAATACCATTATTTTCTAAAATATATTAAAAATAATTTGTAAGAAGTTGTTAATCTCATCACATATTCATTCAGTGTTCAAATTTTCCAGATATCCTTATAATTTCTTTCTTATAATTGGTTTCAACAACCAAGATCCAAACAAGGTCTATTTGTTGAATTTGGTTGGAAAAATCTGTTAAATATCTTTTTTTTCTCTCTCCTTGCAATTTATGTCCTGAAGAAGCTGGACAGTTGACGCCATAGTTTTCCACTTTCTAGATTTTGCTGATTGCACCCTCGTGGTGTTATTTAAGAAGTTCCGCTGTACTTCCTGCAATCTGGTAGTTAATCTGGTGACTTAATTGACTACAACATGGATTTTTTTTTTTTTTTTTTTTAGCAATACTCCTTCATAGGTGCTGTCCTGTATTCCATCAAGATTCTCACAATGACCAGTTGTCTTTTTTTTTTTTTTTTAATCTCAGCAGTCATTGATGATTATTACCTAGGTCTATTATTTTCATTCAAAGTTTTCATGCTGCCTTTCTGCTTCATTTACTACTGGAACGTGTCATTCAAGAAAACCTCTCCTTTATCAAATACTTGGTTACACTGAGGTACAGTTTATATAGAAAAGCAAACTAATTCATGATTTGCTCCTTATATTTATCAGTTTTAAAGTGGAGAATAGGTTTCCTAGCATCTTCCAAAGGTGGTCCGTGAATTTTGTTTATTTAATATCATTATTGACTCACAAATTTAAATGTTCTTGATGTGTTTCAGTCCATTTAATTTGTTATTATTATTGATGCCCAAACTGTCCCATCTGAAACTGGTTGGAGCCTCTTCAGGCTCCTGAGTTCCTCTGATGTGACCTCAGAAGCTCTGGATAGCTTCTAGGTATGACAAGATGATCCAGGCTCATCTTGTACATTTCTTTCCAGATCTAAAATCCACTGTTTCTCCAATATATTCTACTTCTTTTCAGTGAGAAATAGTATCTTAAAAAACCACAACCTGGGTTCTAGAGCTGCCCACTGCCACTAGGTTGGTTCTTATTTTTAGACTTTTTCAATAGACAGCTAAGAAAACACATTAAGAGAAAATGCACTACTATTTTGCACTGATATTCCCAATTCAAATATAAGGTTATATGGCTTTTACTAATTTTATTTTAATTTATACCTTTCTCTCAGAAAATTTTGATTTCTAATGATACAAGCATCATTACTTATTTGCTTTATGCTATTATTTATATAATGTATTCTTCTACATAATATACAGGTTCTTTATGTCATTTTATATGTTATCATTGTACATTACATTATATTCTAGTTTCAGAAAACAATAAAATTTCTAGGAACATGATACCTGACACAGCTCAGAATCTTGCTTTTTTTGCAGTTCTTTTTGTCCTTAGGGTGTATAGCATGTGGAATGTACTGTCAAATTACTGTGCTTTAAAATTGCTTAAAATAATTCCTTGTACCACCAACTCTATATATGGTTAAGTTTGCTTCATTTTTCAAATGTATTGCATTTTTAAAATTCAGTTTTGTTTTATTGTTATGTAAAACATTTCCATACTTCTAAGATTAAATTACAAAACAAGTTCTATTCTGAGCTACAAAACAAAGTCTATTGTATTCATGTCTTTTCCACCTTGTTCTCTCCTTAACTTATAGTTAACTTTTTGTTTTTAAGTTTTTGGTTTATGTTTCCATGCTGTTTTTAAAAAATATAATCAAATACTTGGTTCCCTCTCCACCTTCTTAAGCAAATGATAGAATATGATTTACATCCCTGTATTCCCTGCTTTATTTAATAATCTATTTGAGACCATTATAAGCCGTACATAGAGATCTTCATCTTCCTTTTATTTTAAATTGTGGTAAAATACACGTAAAGTAATATTTACCACTTAGACTATTTTTAGGTGTACCGTTAGCAACATTAAATACATTCACATTGTTGTGCAACCTTCATCACCCAGCCATCTCCAGACGCTTTCATCTCGCAAAACTGAATCTCTGTTTATTAAACAATAACCCCCTATTTCCCCTTCCCTCCAGCTCCTAACAACCAGCATTCTAATTTCCATCTCTATGAATTAACTTACACTGGGTATATCATATAAGCAGAAATATATGGTATTCATCCTTTGTGATTGGTTCATTTCACTTAGCATGATGTCCTCAAGGCTCGTCTATGTGTAGCGTATGTCACAGCATCCTTCCTTTTAAAGGCTGAACATTATTCCATTGTATGTATAGAACACATGTTGTTTACCCATTCATCCATAAATGGATACCTGGGTTGCTTTCACTTTTTTGCTATTAATAGCAATGCTGCCACGAACATGGGTGTACACATATTCATTTTTCTTTTCTTTTCTTTTTTTTATTATACTTTATATCCTAGGGTACCTGTGCACAACGTGCAGGTTTGTTACATATGTATACTTGTGTCATGTTGGTGTGCTGCACCCATTAACTCGTCATTTACATTAGGTATATCTCCTAAT